TAAATTAAAATTATTATCTTAATTAATTATTACATTTGATATAGAATTTAAACTTCAAAAATAAAATGTTGTCAAAACAAAAATATATGTATTATGTTTAACACTTTTTAAAAGTTTAGGGGGCACATGTCAACAGCCAAAAAGAATTCTGTTAGTCTAGTTAATTGAATGTTTGTCAAATAGATCATTTTAGAATAAAATTGATAGTTTATAAATCATTCTTAAAGAAAAAATTGTTTTTAGATTAAACTGAAATAAATTACATAGTTAATAAACTATTTATTAAAGTTAGCCTCTAAAATCTTAAGAGCACAGTCAAGGCAAAAGCATATTTAGCCCTTTATCTTTTTAGATTTATAGGTTTTAGTTTCTTACCTTATACTATTACATTTTTAACTTATCACTTATTAGAATTAAAGAAAATAACCTTCACTTATAACATTTTGTTAATTCTGTTAACTTACTGTTAACTCTATTAGCTGATTATTAGTTGACTGTTAATTGATAAAAACCTACTTTTAGCTAATAAAATTAATAATCAATTAACAAAACTATTTTGTTGAATGACTGTTAACTCTATTAGCTGATTGTTAGTTGGCAAAAATCTACTTCCAACTAGCAGAGTTAACAGTTAATTAACAGAACTAACGAAATATTATAAAGTGAGAATTATTTTTTTAAATTCTAATAGTTGAGAACTAAAAGTGTTATAATATAAGGTAAAGGGTTAAAACCTACCAATCTAGTAAGGTTAAAAGGGCCAAAAATAGAATTTTGCCCTCAGCCAATTGCGAATATATTCCCTCCCATCAGTTAGGACATTTAAATAAGTGTCCAACCGTCCATTTATTTTCTTTCGTTTGGTTTTACTTTTTTTATATAAATATACTAACATACATTAAAGAACCCCTTAAGTGTAAAAATTCTTTAAAATGGCTCATGTGATTCTTTTTTCCTTTTAATTTAATGTTTTCAGTCCACCTAGTTTATTTTGGCGGAATTTTTAATGGCAATTTGATTCACATGAAAAAATGAGACGAAAAAAAAAAAAAAGAATTGAAAGCATGAGGTCACATACATTAAGCCGGTAATGATAAAGGTTGATTTACATTTTTCAAATGATTTAAGGGGTAATTTGCACTGTTATTAATATAGGGGCTCACATGTTAATTTAGAGTAAGTTTAACGAGCTTAAGAGGGGTTTTGCCATTAGAAATGAAGCTCAAGTACAAAATTCATAACGACTCAAGAAAAAACCCGTTACATGATACACAAACCCACAATATTATGTCATGGTTTTTTTTTTTATAATATTTTTTAAAAATGATATATGTATAATATTGCATAATATTATAAATTTATAATAGAATATATTAATAGATAATTAATGTTTTATTTAAAAATTTATATGTAATATTGTATATATTTATTTATTTAATAACACGTTATATTAATTTAATGTTATTTATAATTGTAAATTTATAATTTTTATATTTTGTTATGAATTTGAAGTTCAAATTTTATATGTTCAACATTTTTTAATTGATTTATTTTTAAGTAAATTTAGTTGCCAAACCTATATATCCATTATACCCTTACATTATATTTTTTTTTAAAATTTTATATATTTTGTTTCTTAATAAATTAAAAGATATAATAGTTACTTAATATAAAAATATGTGGTATTAGTAATTGAGATTGTGATGATAACATTACTCATTGATTTATCCTTAGCTTTTTATTTTTATTTTTATTTTTTTTTTGCAACTACAGGGTAGTTTTACTTCCAATTGCCAAATTGGGGATGAAGCATTTTTGTCAAATATACAAAAGAAAATCTAAAAAGGGATTCGATTTTATATAAGGTTCAAATTGTCTAGATTCGTTTGGTTGGTAGGAACCTAATTTAGTAATTATGATATTTCTTCTAGAAAGAAAAGAAGAGGGCTCATAAATTTTGTGAGCGTTTATTCATGTCTAAACAAAAGAATTTTTTTCAAAAAAAATTATGCAAAATAAAAGAAAGAAATTAATAAATTCTCATTGCCAATTGTTAGAGGACTAAATACTTTCAAGCAAATGAAAGAATATTCTTTCGTATATAGATATGCCAGCCTGAACATAAATTGGTTAAATTATTCTTAATGAATTACTATCTTAGACTGATTTATTAATGATATTTTAGATATTTTACACCTGTATTAATATTTTATTTTGACTATCCAAAAGCTGAGAACAGCGCACTTAGGAAAGAACAGCTAATTTAAGAAAAAAATCAGATTGTTTTTTACAACAATAAATGAAGGTGAAAAAAAATGCAAGTAGTATGCATATTTACAAGACAAATTATCTAGATATTATAATCTTACATATTATTTAGGATAAATACTAAATTTAATCCTTTACCTTTATTATAAATATTAGATATTACCCTAACCTTTTTTTTTAGACAAAAAATAGTCCCAAACCTTTTTAAAATCACGAATTTTAATCCCACCGATAGCTACTTCCATTAAATTCCTAATAAAAATCCTACTTAAAATTTTGAGAAGCCACCAAAACACTTAAATAATTAAAAAAAAATTACTGAACTATTTTTTTTTCTAACACCAAACATTTATTTTATTCTTTTAACATAGCTGAATCCTCTCTATATATATATATTCTTTTGAAAAACTTCAAATATCATATTTCATTTTTTTTCTATCTTATACTTAATGCAAATCCTCAGCTTCTCTTAAAAATTTAATGGCAAATTTTATTTTTACCTATTTTATCCTTTAAAAAAGAAATAAAAATAAAGAATCATTTTCATGATAGGCAAGATAATTAAAATTAAAAGATAATTATAAAGTTAAAGTAAAAAAAATATTTGTCTCTTTTAAAATATGAAAAAATTACTATTATTTTGGAATAAATTTTAAGTCAAAAAACGTCTACTACTTACATCCCATAATAATAAATATTTTTTTATTTTATCTTCAATTAAGGATTTAGAGGCAATTTATGTTTTTTCCTATTTTATCTTTAAGAAAGATAAAGATAAAGAGATATTTTTTGAAAATAAGATAGATAGTTAAAGTTAATAGATAATGATAAGGTTATATAAGGAAAAAAAACTTTTGTCGTCTTTAAAATATAAAAAAATAATTATTTATCTAAGACAGTTTAAATTGAAAAACATATATTATTCTGAAAAAAAAAACATTTTGGGACAAAGGGACTAACCAAATCTAATGTAAGGAACAGGCCCACCACGGTCAAACGATTAATCTTTTCACATTGCCTAATATGGTATATGCGCCACTCTACTTTAGTAATTATTGAATCAAGCCCCTATACTTTTTCTTAAATAATTTTCCCTTATACTTTTAAGTTAAATGAAAATTAAATATGTCTGATTTTTTATTTTTTATTTGATGCATAAATATTTTTCGATTTTGTAACTATATAAAAGAGATATGTATTGATCAATAAGTATATTTGTATATACGAGCTAATACATCATTTACATGAAAGATTTGCTTGTAATTATTAATTTAAGTGAAAGGATATATAATCATTGATAACGAAGCTTAGCAACACTTTTTTGTTACTAAAACTAAGATTGATGGAATAAAACTTAGGAAAACAATATTCAACATTTGTACCATTAGTCACAAGAAGCTGATATAAATAAGGAACTAGAGTATGACAATTCAACTCATTGCAATTAAGTATGCAGTTTATCACATTAATGAACATGCAATAAGATAATCACTAAATACCGTTATAACGACTAACTGAAATAA